CTCAAGGTCAATGCCCACCAAACCCTTCCAGTATTTTCTGTTGGACATGGGAGTTCTGTGTGCCAAGTTTAGTTCAATTCCATCACTGGTGGAGTTCAGAATTCTCTTTGATTATAGGTGGACTATAAATCCCAGCAACTACAACTCCCAAACGACAAAATAATAATCTTTTGAGTGATGGTCACTCCTTGTGTTGTGAGACATTTTGTTGCCAAATTTGGTGTGGTTTCGTTCATTGGTTCTTTTGTTTTTAAGGTACTCATTATGCACAGAGCATTTATATATGTGTGTGTGTGTGTGTGTGTGTGTTCATATTCCTGCATTGGAAATGGACAATGACACAATCTTTTGTGCCTTTCAGTTTTCCCTGATCCATTTGGGTTTTACTGAAACTCGCTCATAGCAGATCAGTTTTTTCCCCCCCTGAAGCACTCTATTGTTGTGAGTAGGGATGGGCGAGCATTTCATCTCATCGCTCAAACCCACAATTGTCCTCATATCTGGAATAGACAGAATATGAGATTTAAAATATCTGAATGCCAGGAAACTCAGACCGGCCCGTTTTTGATGTTTAATTCTTCAAGGCTTGGATTTTAATTTGAAGGTGTGTGTATCTGCACTGTAGAATTAGTGCAGTTTAACACTCCTATTGTAGGGGCAACGAAACCAAAATATTTCCCAAAAGGCAGAAGCCCCCTTTCCAATAGGGAGGGCAAGGATGGACACCACGAAAGTTGAATCCTTTAAACTGCAAAAAACTATTTATTATTGCGTGGCCATAGCAATAACGACAAACAAGCATACAGGGATGCAATCAAAGGGTTTGTCGCAACCCCAATGGGGCTGCAGAGCATTTATAGTAAATGGAATATACATTTTCATGGTTCCCAAAGACAAATCATTTCATTAGTCTAAGCTAGCTATGCAGTTGTTCATTAGTTGTTTATAATTTTGATTGACATTATAGCACACGTGGGATCCTAACAATGGCACAACTATAACATAACTACAGTCCATTGTTCTCTGACCATGACTGTATCTTATCTGTTAGTCTGTTGCAAACATGGCTTCAGAGCGACTGGGAAACTTGGGGGTTCTAACTAGCCAACAGCTAGCTGGTTTTGTCCGGATATACTGTTATCCTTGAGTAGTAACTTCTTCTTTGAGCACTGATTTCTCAAACAATCAGCATTTTCTGTGAACATAGGCCTACTGCAGAAATAGGCCAATATGGCAGTAAATCATGACATATGGGCATTGGGGAAATATCTGAAAATTCCCCTTTTAAAACCACGTCTCCTCCACTATAAAACCATGGGAATTGTAGCTTGGTGAGGCACCAGCACTCTTTGGTAGAGAAGGCATGTGAAACTACCACTCCTATGATTCCATAGCCTTGAGCCATGGCAGTTAAAGTGGTGTCAAACTACATTCTACAGTGTAAGTGCGCCAGTTGCTACAATTAAAAATGGAGAAGGCTCCTGCATGTTTAATGGGTTCCTTGGAGGAATGCAAAGTTGAGGAAAACATGAAGTCCTTTCTTTTCTTTTCCCCAGGATGATTTAAGAGCTAACTTTCCCTCTCTGGGATGAAGGATCCTACCAGAACTACCATGTCCAAGCATCACCTCTTCCTGGATTCTCTCCTGCTTTTGCTTTCTTTTTTCCGGCCAGTAGCCACAGGCCATTGCCAGCTGTACCCAAGATCCATCTGCAGGAAGCCAGCTCCCTTTGTTCCTGGCTATAATTTCATTGGTGAAGGGGTTGATATCACTACTCTGGCCAGGAAGGGGGCATATGTTGTAGATGCCAGCCGGTGGCATGGACCCAATGGGACATGCACCTTGTGCCAAAACCCTCGAATGGATGGGCAGCTACAGAGACTCCCCTTGACCAGTGTGGACTGGCGGGCGCATGGCAATTGCAATCGGCAAGTGAGCAGCTCGGTGGAGAACTCAGATGTGGACGTGGCCCATGCCTTGGCCAAGGATGTGAGCAACAACTGGGAAATCGAACTCGGGTTGCATACAGAGGCATCAAATGACTGGCCAAAAGAGCTAGTGCTTTCCAAGGCCCAGGTAGCCTTTGCTGGATCTCAGTCCCGAATGACTCTCAATGCATATGAGAAATCTCTGCAGGACAGGTACAGCTTTGTGAAGCAGCAGATCTCCTGTGAATACTACCAGTAAGCATCTTTGGCACCACAAAAAGTTAATGCAATGGATTTAAGAGAAGGTGTCTCTCGTTAAGAGTGTTATGCTGCAGCACACAAACCCTCCCCCCATTCCAAGAACATGGGGGCAGTTTTGCCAGGTAGTTTGAGGTATAACCACACAATTATATATTAGTCTGATATTACTTTTAACACCATTCTGGAGAATCCTGGCCACTTTGAGTCCTCTTTGGAGTGAGAAGGGTGAGATATAAATGTAATAAATAAACATTTTTGATGGTGAGGTACAGTAGGCTCTCCACTTTTGTGTGGGTCAGGATTCCAGCAAAAGTGGAAAAACCATTATTCTTTTTTTAAAAAATCAACTTTTCTGTACCTGAGAGAACACCTCTCTAAGAATATCTGTCCTCCACTGGAAGATCTAGAGCCAGGCCTGTAGCGAGGGGGGGGGGGGG